GTATAAAAAGAAACCATCTTATCCTTTAACTGTGTGTGGAATGCATTTCTATTTGATTCTTTCATCCCTAACGCAATTGACGACTGGCAGTTTTGTAAATATTTGCCTATTACTGTGACGTCTGCAAGTCTGTTAGTTCCTTTCTGAAATCACATAATCGTAATAGTACTTTTGGTATGTTAACACTAGCATTCCATATTAACTGCACTTTTGTACAGATAATATTAAAAATGGATCTAAAAATAATTGTATGCTCGAGTGTGGACCAGCTGAACAACTATTAGCTTCTAAGGAAGGACTATGGTCCATGCATATAATTAACGTTCGTATTTTTAAAAATGTCGTTCAGGTAAAGTGTTCATAATTATAGAAACAGTGGATGATTAAAATACATCATAACATTTTAAAAGCGTGTTCACAAAACACGCAGGAAACATTAACATTGCGAGTAATGTCGGGTTCGGAATACAATAAGCAGGCAGGGAACGAACTTCCAATAAAACTGGTAAAAATTACATAGTTAACCCTCTGAAGCCCATTGGTAACTATATGTACCACTTACTTTAACATTCAGTAACATTACATTTATTATTTGCGAATTTCGTGTTATTATCCACCAATTAATTTCTATCATGGGGACGCGCTGATTTTATTTTCAGTGTAGACCGGGAGTTTAAATATTATTTAAATGATATTCAGGTTCAAACCCCTAATTAACTTCTTCCCAGAAAGACTATTTATATAACTCGCCACTGAACTTTCGTCATTGCTGGGTTCAACTTCAAGTGATGTGATCTGTGAGTTCGGTGTTTATTTGTATTAGAATAATGACTCATTAATCAGCCCCTCCTGAAGACTAACAGGAAACTTGACGGTAAACCAAACTGAGACCCGGAATGTTCATTACTTCAGTTAGGTTTCTGTTTGTTTATATTCTAATAAAAAGCGCATATTTGATCTGCGGAGGATTCTAAGTCCGTCGCAACTTTACAGGAACGTTTGAAAGTTTCCGAAATAAAATTCTGGGGGAGGGGCGGAAGACAAAATCAAAAATCAAAGGATAAGATAGGCAAGGCATGTAGCAGGCATGGGTAAGACGATAATACGTACAGAATTTTAATCAAAACCCTTTAGGACGTTACAGCTCAGGATAGACCTGGATAATATTAAAATGAATCTTTCAGGGTGTTAGGGCGTGGATTTAATTCATCTCGCTCAGGAAAGGTACCGGTGTAGGGATTTTGTGAGCACGGCAATGAACATTCGTGTTACACAAAATAACTGGAAAATTTTGACTAGCAGAGTAAATACTTTGTTAAGTACTTTGGTCGTGGAGCGATGGCCAGATACAGTTCAGAAATTCTGGGTTCAATCCTCGACATCAGCTTTCCTGACCAAAATATATTAACAATAATCCCTGTTGTCCTTCCTCTTTAAGTACCAGCGTTGTAATATGGCCCGTCAAATTTGACGGGAATAAAAACAATTTTGTTTTCGACACGATAACACAAGTTATGAAAACGAGGGCGCGAAACCAAGCCCTTGAGCGGAATTCAAACCCCACGATTTTGATATCCAGGTGCCTTAATCGTGACCGGGGCAAATCGTTTTACGCTAAATAGTGTTTGCAACTGATACAGAGACAATAAATAACTAATGAACAGAAAAGTTACGATCACAATATAGTTTGAATTACAGACACTTACTTTTTCTATATAGCTTCACTATTCAACCAACCTGGGACTGAACTCAGTACTGTATATAGGGGTAGTACCTAAGCACGCGTACAGAACCATTTAATGTTGTTTTAAATTTCAGATATTATGTTACAGTTATCGTTTCATTTGATATTTTGTCCACGAAACAAAGGGATATCCAGTATTTTTTTTTAAAAAAAAACTATATTGGGTGTATTTTAATTCCCTTTATAGAAGTATAGACATATAGAGATAAATATATGGGGAGGTTAGACAGATACAGATATATAGATGATAAATAGGTTGATAAATAGACATATAGATCATAGATATAGATATTTGTGACGTCAGGGAACACGTAAGCAAACAGAAATTATAATTTTTTTTCTGGAAACAACTTCAGATTTCCTGTCGCTGAGAACTGGTATAAAAAGAAACCATCTTATCCTTTAACTGTGTGTGGAATGCATTTCTATTTGATTCTTTCATCCCTAACGCAATTGACGACTGGCAGTTTTGTAAATATTTGCCTATTACTGTGACGTCTGCAAGTCTGTTAGTTCCTTTCTGAAATCACATAATCGTAATAGTACTTTTGGTATGTTAACACTAGCATTCCATATTAACTGCACTTTTGTACAGATAATATTAAAAATGGATCTAAAAATAATTGTATGCTCGAGTGTGGACCAGCTGAACAACTATTAGCTTCTAAGGAAGGACTATGGTCCATGCATATAATTAACGTTCGTATTTTTAAAAATGTCGTTCAGGTAAAGTGTTCATAATTATAGAAACAGTGGATGATTAAAATACATCATAACATTTTAAAAGCGTGTTCACAAAACACGCAGGAAACATTAACATTGCGAGTAATGTCGGGTTCGGAATACAATAAGCAGGCAGGGAACGAACTTCCAATAAAACTGGTAAAAATTACATAGTTAACCCTCTGAAGCCCATTGGTAACTATATGTACCACTTACTTTAACATTCAGTAACATTACATTTATTATTTGCGAATTTCGTGTTATTATCCACCAATTAATTTCTATCATGGGGACGCGCTGATTTTATTTTCAGTGTAGACCGGGAGTTTAAATATTATTTAAATGATATTCAGGTTCAAACCCCTAATTAACTTCTTCCCTTATTTTTAAACCCACTTTTTCAACATCCAAAAACGCATTTCCTTCACTAAAACTGCCTTTACCACAAGGACAAACGGGTATTGCCTGGGGACCTTCACGACCGCAAATCTAAATTTATGCCTCCTCCCCGTTAAAAAGTAGTGCCTGTCACCACTCAACCACTTCGTCTCGTCTTAGGGTTTTAAAAAGGGGAAAACTGCCCCAAAATTTAATTCGTTCAGACTCACAACTCACCTAAATCTGGAAGTGTCTGGGCCTGATTTAAACGCACGAACACCGACGATGTATAAATGCAGGTTTATAAATCGATATCTCTGAAGGTGGCGTAAACATGGTGAGTAAGCGAGGCAGGCCGTCTGTTACATACTCGGTGATTCACAGCGATAACTCTCTCTCTCTCTCTCTCTCTCCAGCTCAAATCTCGAGTCGGCAGCGTGACCGACTGTGAGCGCCTCTGGTAGACGACGAACGAAAACTGTGCCGATTGGGTGGGACGTCGCGTTACGTCGCGTCCCGACGTCGTCTCTCAGGACAACTGGCATAAACTGTACGCTCGCCTCTCGTCTGGGTTAGGGCGTCTAAACTACACATGCGCGTGACATGTATCACGTGATCAATATTTTGTTCTCTCCCCCCATTGAATTACATCACTTTGGGATGGGGTGAATAAGAAAAGGGATGTAGTTTCAGTAGAAAGGATGTCTGTTCATCGCCATCCGAGTTATGGGTCCTTGTCCTCATATATATTTCTTATGTTCCTGCTCTAATAATCTTACGACATTACACTAAAACTTTCAAAGCACGTGGGACAGATATGAGAAATTGACACGTAAAGTTTAGCCTGAAGACGAAACGTTACGTAAACGAAAGATTAACATTAAAATTAATTTTAAACAAATAAGGTGTGAGGATGTGAGATTTCTATTTACGGATTAGGATTTATTTTTACGAGGCTGCATCAATGCAGAAATGAGTTAGCCTCAAATAATAAAAAAAAAAAAAATATATATAAAAAGCATCAGCCAGCTAATTAATCACTACGTATTTAATTAAGTAGCAAGCCTAGTGAAAATTCAAACGACATCTTAATTTAATCCTAACGTAATTGTCATTTTATTTCGATTTTATTGTGAGGACGTGACTTAAATTTGGATAAAATTGCATAATGACCAGGTTCATAATTTGTTTCGTTATCTAACATCGTCACATTTACCTCGAATCACGGATAATTATATGGTCGGAACGATTAATAAGCATGGAGCAAATTAAATATATACACCATACAAGGAAGGATAATATTAAAATGTATATGAAACAAATTAATGTGAGGGGGAAAACTGGCGGGATTAAACTAGCTTAAGTCAAGTGTCAAGAGGTCTATCGTATTAAGTGCGATCACTTAATTTTTTATCCATATTAATTATAATTATTAATTAGTCGGTAATTTGCAATAAGCTCCAATGGATACGAAGTTAATTTAAACTGGTTGAACAAGCACAGACTAATAGCAGGCTACCCTTTCTACCACGTACGCCTATTTTGGGGATTATTCCGCGATTAAACAGGGCAGATTACGTAATCCAGCGCCAACAGATTGCATAATCACAATTACGTACAACATTCATTACATTAATGTGACAATTGTAATCAACATATAAATTGAAATTTGCATAAAATACTGAATTATTTCAATTTTTCTGCTTATCTGAACAAAGTCGTTAACAAAACAACATCACAAGCAAATCCTTGCGTGGTTTTTAAATGTGTTATGTATTGACGCGATCTGAACCTAAGCTTTTAAGATGTTGAATCTTGATTTTATTTATTATATCATGTGGTCTATTAAAATTCAAAAATAATTTCAGAAACTACACAAGACAACACAGGATCACATAAAAACACGAAAATACAACAATGACTTTAACGGGATTCGAACCCATTATCTAAGTATACCATGCAATTGTTAGACCGTGGGCCCCTACGACAGGCAAAACGTGAAATATTAACAACTCTAACTGTCCCCATAGACATGTTTAATTCCAGCGGACAGTCGATAAGGAGTGGCCTTGGAGCCTATTGTTAGGTGAGGGACTTACAGCTCCACATTATAAAAACGACATATTTCGAAACGTTACTTATTTTTTTTACATACCTTCAAGCTGTACTGGAAGTTATCACTTTTTGACCTAGAAATTATGTAGATTGTTGGTTTCGTCAGCGTTTTTAATCTTCTCGTGGTTCGCACGGCTCGAAGATTGGTTCACAGTCATTAAGGCCGTAACTAATTTGATGACGCGCTCAGGCGAACTGTGTCTGGAATAAGAATGTAAATTAAATATATCGGTCAATGTTCTGTGTCATACCATACAGCAGTGTTTCCCAACAGGATTTTCGTGGTAGATAATTTATGTACCTCGGCAAACACTAGCGTTGCACATAGCAGGGCTAATTTCACAACAATGAACGACACTGGGTTACAGTAACCACCTTTGTTAAGATATCATGGTGTTATTTTTGTTAATAAATGACTCGCGGGTGGCCTTCACGCGGTTCACATAGAACTAATTTTATAAACAGCAGAGACTTGATTACTCAACAGAAAACTATTAAAGTCAAGGACGTATCTTAGTAGGACCACGTGGAAGGTGAATGATTCGTGAGACTGGGCCTACATACGAGGTCCTGCTTTTTCAGTTGGTAACTGTGTACTTCGCATTCATATGTTTCGTGTGATTCTGAGCGCAAACACCGGATGGCAGCACATTGTAATGGGCACGAACTACTTCCGTTTTAACCCCATTCCAAATCCCCACACGTAATAATCCTCAAGTTATGTAATGCAGTGGTTTATCTCAGTTACTCCAACTGTGGTATCGTGTACAGTCGTTAATAAGCTTTAATCAGAACATTTGCGCAGTTTCTAATTTTCCGATACTTAAGTTCACATTTATAAAATAAAGTCCTTTTGACTCGAATAATGTACCTTCATTATCAAGTAAAACTGCATATATAATTTATTTATGAACACAACTTTTTGTTTCATTTGAATGATGATGGAGATATTTTAACTTCATATAAAAAAAAATTAAAAGTTAAAATCAGCCAAACTTGTAAGCGGTGTAATGTGTTAACTTCGGCTTTTGGGTGCGAACCTTGAAGATGGCAACTCAAATGTTTGCCGAAACGTCGGTTATATTAAAAAAAAGCCGAAGTTATGCTAAAACTAATTAAGAAAATAATCGCTGTTTGTTGTGAGATTCATACGAAACACGTAAATACAAAATGAATAGTTGCTTATTGTTAAAGCAGGTGGTACATATAGTTACCATTTGGTTTTAAAAGGCTAACTAGGGGATTTAGTCTCGTAACGTAATTTACTAACATTTGTAGCTTGCATCGGCGGTAGGCCTATTTCAAAACGCTTAAAAATAAAATTAAAAGCAGTTAGATTAACAGCGTAGTTTCTGAACACATAAACTAAAATGTGAACACGTATTTCAACAAAAATGTGTTAAAAGTAATAGTCACAGCAAACTGGTCTGTCCTGAAACTGAATACAGGCAATCTATTATAAATGCAAAATGAAAAAAGTTTTGATACATTAATCAAAGTTGAAGAGAAACTTTTTTTAAAACTCCGCAAACTTTTGCACTAGAACAGATATTGGAACCAGATTTTTTTTTCTAAAGTTGTCCCTTCTGAAAACCGTGAAAAATATAAGCCTAACAAGTGTTATTAGGGTAACCATTTTTGAAACATGATCATCAGTAGGAAGGAATTAAAAGCCTCAATACTTTTCATCTTCAATGTCTTTACCATCGTATTTACGTAATGTTTACTCTTGTGAATTCCTAACCTTCACGCCCTCCTCTCACCAAATTGAGAAACTCTCTGTAATAGGCCTATAATTTCCTTCCGCCTTCTCAAAATATTCCTAATATTATAATTCAGCAATCCAAAATCCTGTCTGTATTTTTTATGGATGTTATTTCTGTAAAATATCTGAATTCCCTTTTTTGATCTCGGAAAATCAAAGGGTCTACGTGATTAGGAGTGTCTGTGAAGTTGTATTTATAACACGAACGAGGCTTGTCACATTCCCTTCGTTGCTTAGACCCAATCCGTCGTGGTATAAATGTGACTGCAATAATGGAAAGAGATTTTATCCACGCGAACGGTTCATTACACAACCATTCAGCTCTCTTCAGATCTGTCTCTCAAAAGGCGTTCACAAGCATTCCACAAAAGCCTCAAAGTGATATAAAAATAACTGTAATACAGGGCGCAAAGCTCATTGACCTAATCAGACGACTTTTGAAAACACAGAGATATAAAAAAGACCTCAGCTAACTAACTAGATGGCTTACCGAACCCGAAGGTTCGTCACCGAACTAACCAAAGCCCTCCACCGGACCCTGTCCTGGGCCAACAAAATCCAGTCTCCTTCAACTCCTATCTCCCATAGATCCCGCCTGACATTATCCTCCCATCTACGTCTAGGTCTCCCCAGAGGTCTCTTCCCTTCAGGCTTCCCAACCAATACCCGGGGCACACCTCTTGTCCCATCCATGCGCGCTACATGCCCCGCCCATCTCATTCTTCTCAACTTAATCACCCTGACAATACTGGGGGAGTACAGATATATATATTTGATGATTCGTTTTAAGTGGTAAAAACACTTTAGAATAAATAAACATCACACAGAAATTAATCAGTAAATTTTCCTTCTTTTGTCATAAAATACCTACTTGGTTATATAATCACATCCAGTAAAGTATATTATTAATGAGTGTCTTGGAAGGTCTAAGGTTCGAATATCGGCGTAGATACCGGCTATCTACGTATTTCGTGTCTTTCCTCAGGTTCTCCGGGCAATTTTCCTGTGTAGTACCTTAAACTAGGTCACGACAACTTTCTATTATATTATTTCTAATTCATTATTTATTAATTATCCACTTATTCGAAGAGGTATATTCTAAATTACTGACAATGTTGTTAAATAAATAACATCTCTTGTGGATTTTTAATGGAACTTCTCCATTCTTTAGTATAATTTCACGAAAATATATTCATTCTCTTTCCACTATTTTCAATCATTCAGGTGATAAGAATAAATATTACATCCTTACCACGAAACGTGAACTGTATGCGAGACGTGATATCAAGGTCTGAACGTGAAACATTTTAAAGATATGTTGGCATGATGCCACTACCTGTTGTGCCTACTGGGGTAATTACATGTTTCTCTATTCATCGACTCAATCAATGATTTGATCACTGCTGGAGATAATGAAATCGAAAGTGAGACCATTATTAAACATAAAAACCGAACATGTCATTTGTCGGATCTGAACAAGAGTAGGGAAGAATGTACAGTATTTCCGTGTAAATTTTCTGTTGGTAGAATTGTAATTATTTTTTCGTCGTACTGCCTCATGACTGAGGCGTCGTGACCTAAAATTGTAAGTACAAAGTGATTATAAAAATTGGTAAACTTACAGTTGGCTGTAATTGTTTCTATTAAGCTGTGTGCAATATCTGCAATTCTTGGAATTTGTCACTGCTCCAACAGTCACTACATCGGCATTTTTTAAAGTATTAAAACACATAAAAGTACAGAAATATTTATAACCCATCACCACAGCAAATTTCACAGTAGTTCACTATTTTACGCTACGAAACCATTAAAGTAAGCTAAATAAACAAGCGTGAGACCACACTAAGATTATGAATTTCTTTGTAACAATTCGTTTCAAGATTCACACGAAATATAATAACATTTTTTATGGCAAACAACCACATTCCGACTCAACCCAATCGACAATTTTCGAACAGAAACTATCTAACCAATCACGTCGCGACCTTGAATTTTCTAGCAGAAGTAATGGTATCATAGATTATCACAGTAATCTAATTTCCTATCGTGGCTTCACCATGGATTACTTTCCACAGATGACCCAAAATAATAAATGCTGTAATGCGCACAATGCATTTCACTTCATGCAGATATACTTTTTATAATCGTGGCAGATGAGTTCAGACAGTACGCAAATACAAGCATCTATTGGAATGTGAAAAGCTTCGTTCTACAAATTTTATGGAGGGAACCATGCACTAGAAAAAGAGTGCAGACATGCTGCAATTAGTATCTAGCACAGATTATAAAATTGCCACTATATATCGTTGTGGGCAAAGATTATATTTATAGGTTAGGAGCTGTTTACCTACATTTCAAATGACCTTGAGGCATTCAATAATTTAATTTACTTGGAACGTCTTATATGTTCAATGATGAATTCAGTGCTCATTCTATATGCGCTGTTAGGCATTAAGGCTAGAATTTTTAACAAAGTCATACCAGACACATATCTTGACCACCACAGCCTTTTTTGATTTGATAACCTTTGTATTTAGCGAATAAAACAATTGATATGTTTCCTCCGTCCTTCTGCCACTTCGTCCCTCTTGGATTAAAAAGTTCTCTGTACCTATTCTAAAATACCCTCCAATTTATGTTCTTCCCTCGAGATGACAGTGACACATGCACGGTCATCTTCATACTGGTTGCTATGAGATCCTGAAATTTAACCTTTTGGGTGGGAATTTGGGAGTCGCATCACAAAACAAACATCATTATACCATTCAAAAACCCATCATTAATTGTCCAGGATACAAATCTGGATTCTTTGGATTGAGAAAATGTGAATACGCTTTGAAGAGCAAAATTAATTAAAATTCATAATTATACAAATTTATTAAGAATTAAAATAAAAGACATCTTGTCTAAGCAACTAGCAATTTCTTTTAATACAGAATGCACGTGTATATGTACGTTTCTTTAGAATTACTAACATGTGGTTCTTTTGGTGTGTGCGTCTTCTGGGATGTTGCACCAGTGTAGTCTCAGAGAAAATTTCAAACATCCAAGAAGACAGTCGTCATCCATCCATAAGTCCACGTCTTTCATGTCAATTAGGTGGGGGAAAAAAAGTAGAAATACTCAATGAAGAGATGCTGGATATAAAATATGTTTCTTCTTTATCATACATAAGTTTTAATGCATGCAAGTAATGCATTAAGCTAGTACACAGACCCATCTATTGTAAGATAAAAGTTTAAAGAAAAAAGTTCACCGTCTCTCACGTTCAGATCGAAATAAATATGTACAAATTGAGCACTGTATAGTTTAGATACAAGACGTCCTATCTGGACATACAGTTTAATCTCAATCGATTCATGATGGCCACACAGATTTGAATGGGATGCTGTAACAGGAAAACTGATCAAATATAAACTTTTTTTATTTTATTTCACAAATTAGTAAACATACTGGGGGATACTGGGCACTGCGGGTCCCAACTTTTTTGTTGGCTCGACCTGTAGACATTCGGTAGGACTCCTTCGACGAGGGATCGGCCCGTCGCGAGGCCTCTACCTGTACACAGGACAGCACGACACAGAAAAACGCGGACAGACACCCATGGCTTGAGTGGGATTCGAACCCACGGCCCCAGCGACCAAGCGGCACGAGGCCCACGCCTCAGACCTCGCGGACCCCAGTAAACACACATCTTTCCTATTTTATAGTTGTACTATTAGTATTTAAAAGTTACTTAGATTCTCACTTCTGCAGTAGTCGGTTATCACGGCATATAAATCACTTTTTATTCGATGGTAGGGGTAGGGGGTGTTTACACTAAATAAAGAATATACATATATTCAAACATATACTTACTAATAAAATAAGGTTATCCCTCAGCTAACTTGTGGAGTTTACATAATTACTCTGTCTTCTTTCACAGACTAAATTCTAACACAAACCATTCAAACAGGGACAAAAAATGTATTACTATAAAAGGATCACAGCAAAACCTCATTAGCAGACACATAAGTGGCAAAAGAATAATATTCAGACACAACATAATTTCGAAGAATAATACTGATGTGAAATCTTGATGTAAAGTACTGAATATACACACTGAGCATCATAACGAAATCTGAAAATATGAGGTTTTTAAACAATAATAATGTTAATAATAATAATATCTGGCCAACATCACGGGCGAACACGACATCAGGGAACTGCAGAAGACCGCCATTTTGGGATCTTCATACATCATTCGAAAGACGCTGTCGTAAAATAAAATTATATAATACATGTGACACTTGCTTAAAACAATACGGATCCCGGAAACAGCTGCTGGACTACGTACCTTAGGGACACGGTCTGTCTCGGGTACATGGAAGTACATACCCCATAAATTGGTGAATAGATGGGATAATAATAATAATAATAATAATAATATAATTTTAACCTGCCAATGAGTAATACTGTTCTGCTTTTAATCGTTTATTAATATCATTCCATGCCAGGAACGTACATTACAAATGCTGTTACATTTATTTTTTTTAAAGAAAGATAACCACACCGGTATATAACAGACGATATCTAGATAACTGGTCCGACTGAAAAAGTTATGGAATTACACAAAACATAAAACTAAATTTGAAAAGTCCGCACAACTATCATAATATTCTTACTACGAAGCGCGTTTCGCAAGATACCTCCATACACGCTGGTTGTCATCATTCCGATATATTCCGCACGTAAAGTTCGTGCGGCGGTGATAATGGTACTGACAAAGGATGGAATTTAGGAAATATAATAATAATAAAAAAATGATCACCTGTAACATCAGCTTCTTTAAAATTGGTCCGCTGCGATGAAATATATTAAATGGAAACAAATATGTGTGGGCAGATGTGGTCACTCCATACACAATTCTGTCAAAAAAAAGGCAATAAAGGAATTAGCATTAATGAACAGAACATACTTCTGCGACTGGAACGTATTCGACAGATTTTACGAAAACCTGCGACCATAAAGTTTTCTACGCACTTTCTTTATTTACCGCAGATTTCATCCACATTCTAACATATCTTTTTTAATAACAAACTTCCCAGACATTATTCATCATCTTCCTATGATTAAAACGTAACATTTTGGAAAATGTACGGACTAGCTCCACCGATTGGACCAACTGAGTAGGTTTTACCTGTGGACGCAGACAGACTGCAGTCTTCTGTAATGTTATTATAATGATATTAAATTGATAGATGATGTCCACGAAGTTATTTTAATAATGCACCAAGACCATAAAACTTCAGACTTAATTTATAATTTTGAAACAATACCAGCATATCTTTCTTAATTAACACATCTATTTAATGTTGTGTTAAAATGAGTCTAAATGAATGAGGTTCTAATGCAAGTTCTACGTAAACATTTACAATTACATATGCGCTAATGTACATGTGCATTCACAGTCACATTATAAAATCCTGGACAGCAATATGAAATAATGTACAATAGCAACAGAGAGTCTGCAACCTAGTATGTTAGTAAACTGAGTCACGTGCAGCCCACCTGAACGCGACGCAAGGTTCCGATGGCCGTGATGACTACACCAAAGTATTTGATTTCAGATCGAGCTTCTGGTGCAGAACTCCCAACAGAAGAACGTCTGCTCCCACAATAGGCTTGCCCGATTTCTTGAGCTTAGACCAACTGGCTTTATCATCTGAGCATGATATGATGAAACTATTAACTGGCCAAGATTTGACAGCCCCCAGACTCATGAAAACTCCGCCACAACTTTCGATAATGCCTGCAAGGAAATACAATATTTTTTTTCTTAATTTAGCACTTTACAGGTCGCTGGATAAGCTTCTTCTTCTTCTTCTTCTTCTATTTCCGGTTTAACAATGATTGTGCATTTTCCGGTACCCTTTACGGGTCCCCAACTTTTTAGTTGGCTTGATCTATGGACATTCGGTAGGACTCCTCGGACGAGGGATCGGCCCGTCGCAAGGCCTCTACCTATTTACATGACAGCACAACACAGAAAAACATCCATGGCTTGAGTGGGATTCAAACCCGCGACCAAGTGGCACAAGATCTGGATAAGCTTGGAACGCTGCAACTCTGGCCACCAAGGTTTCCGGATAGGACACCTTCGGATAATTAAAAACCGTAGCAGAGCCAACTGGCTGCATCTTCAACGTAGCGGTATAGATAAAAATTACGACACTACTTTACAGGGCAACTGATTCTCTTTTGAAGAGAGCAAGTACTTGCCTAAGAGACAGACCGCGGTGGCACTATGAGGTATTAATGTATTAAGTTACTGTTTCAATAGAAATTATGAAACAGTATACAGCAAAATTCCTCCTTATGCTTACTTTCACGAACAACTTCAATTTCATGTTATATAACTCCTCCAATATACAAAGTAGGTGAAATGATTACTCTTTACTTCTGACTTGTAAAGGACTCCCCTAAACATCGCTGAAGTATCAACTTCAGATCATGGGGCATTCTGTAGACGCAGAAACATGCTCTCAACCTAGCATTAGATTTTAAAAGAAATTTACCTTTACGTTTTTCAGCCTTAATAAATATAACACTGTGACAGTAACAGACAATCCTTACCTTTCATCTCTGATGGGGGTGGGTTAACTTTTGGTGTAACATAGACGCTGTAACCTGCCAGTAGGTTAGTCCTAGCCGCAACTTCCAACGACTCCCGTAACTGGAATTTGAATTTTGACTCTGATTCGTGGTCTTTTATCAGGAATTTCCACGGATCTGTGAACAAATAATTTAAAATAGTGGACCTAATTTTTAAAACTTTACAATGCCCAGATACTAAATATCCTTCGAAAGACTCTAACTAGAACTGAGTTAAGTTTTGTTTAATCATAAAATACTTTTCATTAGTGGAAACGCATAAATTTAACAATTTTTGTCGCAGATTTACAAAACAAAATGTGATATCGATGTGTGGCTTATGTGTACATTAACGTACGTGTGTTTGTGTTTTATATGCGCACATGGTGAGGCAGGTAAGTTATTAATTTATTAGATTGTTGATATACTATCTGTATCGAAGACGCTGCATACCCACAAAACAGCCAGATCGCTGACACTGTGCTAGCCATTCGGGTGAAACGATGGGTTTTCCGCGACCCATGATACAAAGAAATTTGTATGTCCGCCGCACCCTGTCTGTGACAAGAACTGAACAAGATTCAGGTAAGTCCACCACACGACCACCTGTAGGAATCAGAAAAAAAATCTTCTGTAGTAACCCAATATAGCAAATACCAACATATAATGTGCTTATGTAGTAAATATCTCATATACAGGAATGGAATTTGTGTGAAATAGGGGTAATAACTCATTTGTTCATATATTTTACACATAATGATCACTTATGCCTTGATGCTTGTCTTCTGGGTTGTAGCACTGTGTACTACCAGTCCTGAAGATGGAGACAGTATGTTCCTCCAAAACATTGATCTCTGTGTACAAACGCACACGACATTACAAACCAGAAGACCAAATTAAACATCTTTGTCATCGTGAGAACCTTGCGTCTCATACGTATAATAACATCGAGGCTGGTGCAGGCAGAACAATTTTGTGACTCAGCTTCTGTACGTCTCTTACACCATTCCCCGCTTTATAAATTTTAATTTACATATTCTGTCAATGACCAAACTTGTTTCTTTTATACCTAGTTGCCTGACGACGTATTCTTGCTTGGAGTCAGAGAATCCGGTGAAAAGAACGTGGTGTGCTGTTCCACCAGCTGATGCCATTCTACGTGGAGTGGAACGCCGTTGAGTGCTTACATTGCTATCACTCTGCAGCAAAAATTACATTCACGGTATATTAATTAAATATTTCTATACACACTCTTTGTTAATAATCTTCCCAATTCATGTGCAATGAAATAATTAATATGCCAAAACATGTATGTACATGAATCAAAGTTTTTCAAACTTTAATACACTGTGTAGATGACACAAGTTCACAACAAAAACACTAATGGTTATGTCTATGGAATACTAGCTGAGACAGATCCACAAACGAAATGCCATAACAGTCTAAGCAACTTTCAAGGCCTCCAGATGTCATCACAAATAACCAGCAATGCATTAACATCTTCTACACATAATAAATTCCTCTCGGGCTACCAGCCATGTAACGTGATTTAATTAAGAAAACACCGGTTCGAGATCCACCTTCGTCCTCAGGGTGAGGTCCCCAAGGACAAGGACGAAGATGGTTCTTGAAACATTGGTGTTTACTTCACTAAACCACCTTACGCGGCTGGTAGCCCGAGAAGAAGTAAAATCTTCAGATCATACATCTTCTACAAAATTTTTGTTTTCAAATGCTACATTTCCATCCCCTCTCCACATTCTTCCTGCTATCTTCGAAGACAACGACGACGACAGTAACACTCACCTTCTGAGAACTAAGTCGGATGTTACTCTGTGGTGTTCCTCTTCCTCGGCTAGATCTTGCATGTTGGGGTGTTATGTCTTGGTCCGCAGATAAATTAATTTTGCGTGATTTCGGGGTTGTAGGCTCGTTTTCCAGTCCCTTGTAGGTTTTGTCAGTCTTTGAGATCCTACTTGTTCTCTCTCTCTGACCAGATTTTGTATCGTGTTTTGCTGTTTCTGTTATTTCTGACTTCTGAGAGCTCATAACTTTCCTTCTTGTTCTGCCTCTTCTAGGAGATTGCACACATTTAACTTCATCATTCTGTACACTGTTCTCGAACGAAGGAGAATGTGTTTTGGATAGCTTTTCTTCGGTCTTTGTTTGTTTTGCTGGTAAATGTTCAGCACGTTCCTCATCAGCAGATTTTGCATGTTTTACACCTCGTTGTGGTCTGCCTGAAACATTCAAGAATGACAAATTGGTATCTTTAACAGCCACAGCCATTCTCCTTCTCACGCTTCTCCCTGTACAACTCTGAACAGACTCTATACTAGAACTTGATGAAGATTTTAATACAGAATGGATGTTGGTAGACGGTTCTTGCATCGCTTCCACATTCGCGGTCTGTCTCTCTTTCCTGCCTGAAATTCTTGTTCTGAAGTCACTATCTAAATCTTTAAAACTTTCATCAGTATTTAACACATTCTTACTTGTTTCTGGACTGCATCTGTCAGCGCTGTTTTCCTGAGATTTCGCCTTCTTGGAACGTTTGGAAGCTGCCTCGGTGACAGTTTCTTCGGTCTTCCGTTTTCGTTCCCGGTTGCTTACGATTTCTATATCATTCCGCCTTGCCACTTTTTGCGGCGAACGGTTCTTTGATGAGTCAGTCACAGACGTAACTTCTCCGTCTCCTTTACTCTGTCCCGGTGACTTACGAAGGGACACATTTTGACGACCAGGAACAGAATCAGTTATTTTCTTTTCTTTTACATCTTTAGAAGTATTACCGCCAAAATCTTCTGAATTTTTCAATAACTCCTCCGAAGGTGGTTTGCTTAGAGAGACTTTTCTTGACCTCAAAGTCCTGTGTGTACTAAGTTCTACTCTCTCATTAACCTCATTTTGAGAGTTACTGCTTAAACGTCCTCTGCTTCTACTCTTTGACCTTTCTTCTTCTGGAGCTGGACTACCTTCACTCTTATCACTTCCTAAGCTGTCTCGGATCTTGCGAGTCATTTTCTGTTGTATTGAAGGACGGATGCTTGTTGCAAGGGCATTTTCCACGTCTTCCTTCTTATCAACACTTCTTTTTCCTGTCTCTTTATTATCATTATCTTCTGTTGATTCAACAACTTCCTTTAATCTTCTTCTTCCTTTTCTTGGTTTATTAGACTGTTCTGATTTAAAACCCTGTTCTTCCTTTTTATTTCTGTGAACTCCACTACGTAATGATTTCTCTCTTCTAGAGGTCTCAATAGACAGTTTCACGTTCGTCTCCGTTTGGGAATCAGCTGATGCAACTATTTCATCTTGACCCTTAACAATTTTTGACGTTCTTGCTTTACCATTTTCTTTATCCGTGTTAACTACATCTTCAGTTTCAATTTGTTGAATCTCTCCAGGACATCTACGTGACCTGCGACGTGACGTCATATCATTTACTTCATTTTTACTGTCATTTTCAAGAGGATCTTTGTTAGAAAGTCTCCTTTGTTTGCTGGCCTGAAGAATAATATCTGATTTATCACTTTGATCAATATCTTCATAAGAAAGTTTTCTTCTTCTACTTGTTCCAGCTGCAGCGTTTGATATCGTACTTACATCAACAGAGCTTTCGTCTGGCAGGTGCTTTACGCTACCTACTACTGTGGCGTCCGAAGCCTTGCTTTTAGTACAGGGTCTCTTCCTAACCTTGGCTCTTTTACTTTTCAAGTGACTATGCCTAGGGATTTTAAGTGTTAGGCTGGATGGTTCTTCGTCTTCACTAGGAATAACTTCTTCTGGTTTGAACGGAGATTGCTTTGCCTCATATGCTTTTACAGCCTTCATTAAATCCTGTGATGATGGCATTATGAGCTCAAATGTATCATTCAAGTTGTCATCTATCAGCTTATCTACAACATCTACATTTTTATGAGCGTCGATAGGTACAGCAGATTTTTTAACTTTATTTAACTCAGAGCTTCTATCTACTTGAATTTTCTGTGAGTTCGCTTCAAGGACATTTTCTGAGTCTGTTTTATCGCCGGAACCATCATGAATACTAGATTTATCATCACTTGGTATCTCTGAACCTGCCCCTTCACATTTTGAATCATCCTCTTTTTGAGTACTTTTTATATCAGATTTCTTTGAATTTGAAATCAAATGTTTTCCATTAAAACACCCCTGATCACTTGCCATATTATCACCTGGCTTTTTGATTTCATTCATATCAGATGTTCCACGACCATTTCCGTGAGTACCTAATACAGAATCATTTGTCTTCTTTGATTCTGTCATCCCAGACACTTCATTATTTTCCTTCTGAACGCCTGATGTTGGAATTCCTGGCTTCCTTAATCCTTCCATCCCACGTTCCCCATCTCCAGCTTTTTCAGCTCGGAGTGTAGAGCCATGTGGTTCCTCTGCTTCTCTCATTTCAGGTTTCGGAGTATCTGGTATTACTGATTCTGCCATTCCAGATTTCCCAACTGTACCTTTTGGTTTATCTGGTGGTACAGTTTCACTGTTGTCAACACCGGTCTCTGCAACAGATTTCTTTGAGCCGTCAAAACCACTGTCTTGAAGCCCTGGTGTAGAATCTGTCGTTGATACTACCACTTCGGGCACTTCGCTGCTCTCCTTCTGAGGTATAACCTCTGCAGTTGTCTGTGTTCTAATTTCAGACCATTTATCACACCTACTCTGAACATCTGGTGTTGCACTGACCTTTGTAGGTCTTATATTTTCAGATATGTTTTTAATGCCCTCGGTAACACACGATTCTCTCAACTCGCATTTATTTAATTCTTTGGCGTCGCTGGTGCTCGTATCAGGAGAATTTACTTTCCCAGCTACAGAAATGCAGATATCAGCTGTATCAGTTTCATCACTTGAGTCTATGGATAATTCAGAGGAATGTTTAATGGTAGCAACTCTATTTGTAAGAATCTTCTGGTCTGTTTTCTGTCTTGCTTGTCCAGAATTTGATACTTTCTTTGATCCTACCTTGGAACCCACAACTGTTGAATCATCACTTGGTATTTCTTTAAAAATCCTGTCAGTGATTTTCTGAGTTGGTGCATCATAAATACCTTTTTCTGGGTCATCTACAGTACCAAAAGACACTTGTGTTGATGGATGATAAGATCGTTTCCCTGATGAAGATCCAGAATGTTTAGGAAAATCTTTATTATTACCATCTGGAACCTCGATCTGTTGGGTTCCAATTTCTAAAATGCCATCATTCTCATTCCCTGAAGAAGTTTCTATCAATTTAGGTGCCTTGACTCCACTGCCATATTTTACTGCTGGTGCATTTATTTTA